AAGTGCGTGTTTATAATATAAGTGAGTGTATTCGCTGCCGAGAAGGAAATTATGTAGATTGCAGTCTTCTGAAAAATATCCCAGTGCTGTCAATGATTAGAGGGTGTGAAACTTGGAGACTTGGCCAATTTAAACTGCTTGAACTCTGCTGCTGAACCTCTTGAGGTAGTGGGCGGCGGCTATATTTTAAAGCATTTAAGGGTTCCACCTTTTCCAGGAGATGCCGTTTGTTTTCAATTTCCTGTCCCCACATTGCTAGTGATGCCTGTGTTAATTACTGTTTTTAAATGGAGAAGGTTGGTAGGGGGTATGGTTTTACTAATTGCATTCCAGGGTGAAATTATATGATTGAATGCAGAGGAGATGAGCATTTTGTTCTGACGTTTATGGTTTAAAGGCATGGGATTGTTTTTGGACACTTATGTGTAACCAGGAGCTTATCTTTCCCTGCTGTGGTTCTAATTCCCGCGTAATGACAATGCTTTTCACATCCCTCCTCCCAGTGTATACAGGAGAGGATAGCCCATACCTGCCCTACTGCATTGCATGTTCAGAAGTATGTTAGATGTCTTGCTGTTTTGCCAAAGTTGTTGACTATCCCGTTCCAGCAGACCTGGGTCATGGGGGGGGGGAGTTAATCTCAAATGCCATCAAAGTTAATTCTTGAATTGAGGTAATGGACTCCACTGTTCCTTCTGCAAACAAGGGCAGGCATTCCTAGATTAATGAGGTCCGGATTCCTTGCGGCAGGTTAATTTATTTGAGTCAACACTTTATAAGAACACCTGAGCACTTCTCTGGCAAGGAACTAGGAGTTGTGTTATAAGAGTTAACCCTAGCATGCACCTAGATTAAAGGAAATTGTATATAGGTGCAAGTCTCTTGGCATGAGGTTGCCTATAAGAAATGTGCCATCCTTTCATAGTTTGGAAATTTTCATACCTATAGTAGTCCCAACATTTTGGCTGAGTTTGGGCATTAGTAATGGCTAAGACCTACGTAAAACAATTGAATGAAAATTCTGCTTTTAGTCACAACTAATTGCGGTTGGTCAACTTGGTCACAACTAATTGCGGTTTGACTGGAGTCTGAATCTTTGGGTAAAACTAATGTCAAAAGATCTGTGAAGAACAGTGTTACATTTGGGTTTCAGAATTCTAGGGCCTCTCTTTGAACCCCCCCCCCCCGATTTATGAGCATGAAAGTCAGTAATTTGGTACTTCTTATGAATTTACTTTTGGTATGTTTTAGCTCATTAGATTTGATCAGCCTCTGCCTCATCAACACATTAAATTGTGTCTTTAATGCCCCTGTTCTGAATTTTATTTTTAGGTCCAATTTGCAGCTGTTAGCCTGTTGGATCAGTGACTCTTAATGAAAATTCAAAGCAGGTTTTGATTATAAAGTTTAATGTCTCCCCAAAAGCTGTTAAGATTTAATGGGTTACATCTGTATCTTTCATTAATGGGCATTTAAAACAGTATGCACCTGTGCAATTACTCGTTAGAGAAGGTAAATCAAGAATATTATCTATCTTTACGCAGTGTTTCTGTTTAGTAAAACAAACAAAACACCTTTCAGAATATGTTGTGTGCTGTTTTCTTGGTGCTGGAGCCAAGATGATTTCAGGATGGAAAAACTGACACATTTGTGTGCGCGCGTGTTGTAAGGTTAAATTAGTCTATGCAACAGGTCCATTAAAGCCACCTACCCATTTGGCCTATAGGTTCCCATGCTAGTCATTTGTGGCACAGCGATGACCTGTAAGAGAGACAAAAGCTGGGTTATTTTGGTTCCAGGGATGCGGGTGGCTCTGTGGTCTAAACCATGGAGCCTCTTGGGCTTGCCGATTGGAAGGTCAGCAGTTTAAATCCCCGCAACCGAGTGAGCTCCCGTTGCTCTGTCCCAGCTCCTGCCAACCTAGCAGTTCGAAAGCACGCTAGTGTGAGTAGATAAATAGGTACCGCTGTGACAGGAAGGTAAACGGCATTTCTGTGTACTCTGGTCTTTGTCACGGTGCTCCGTTGTGCCAGAATCAGTTTAGCCATATTGGCCACTTGACCCAGAAAGTTGTCTGTGGACGAACGCCTGCTCCCTCATCCTGAAAGCGAGATGAGCGGCACAACCCCATAGTCGCCTTTGACTGGACTTAACCTTCCAGGGGTCCCTTACCTTTTACCTTTTTTATTTTGGTTCCCCAGAGACAATATTTAATCAGCACAAGTATGGGGCTGCCTGCTAGCTTGGCCATCGCCCCCTGCCGAAATTGTTGCTAGACTTGCTCTGCTCCTTCTCCTGTATTGGATCTTGATTCTGTAGCAGGCTGAAGTCCTTTGCTGACCTCCACCTGATAGGGCATGTAGCTGGTGCACCTTACATTTTGATGGTGCAGCTGGAAGTTGCTCTTGATGGCACTAACACCTTTCTTCCTCCCACCTACCTTGTGAAATTAGATTGGGCATTTCCCTGACCTTCGGTTCACATCATTGGCCAGTGGGAATGACGAGGGAAATGCACAGTGTGATGTCACAGAACTGATAAGGGTGCCTACATATTAAAATGGCGCTGCAGTTTTGGGAGGCTGCCCTGTGTCAAACCCAAGTACAGTCAAACCTTGTTCTGCATCCATCTCCGCTTGCGTCCGCTTTGGCGAATGTGCATGGCAAACCCAGAAGTACCGGAACGGGTTACTTCCGGGTTTGCCGCTTGCGCATGTGCAGAAGTGCTAAATCGCACCGTGCGTGTGTGCAGACGCGGCACTTCGATGTGCATCATTTTTGGCTCGCGGACGGGCCTCTGGAACGGATCCCATCCACAAAATGAGTTTTGACTGTATCTAAGGTAAAGGGACGCGGGTGGCGCTGTGGGTAAAAGCCTCAGTGTCTAGGGCTTGCCGATCGAAAGGTCGCGGTTCGAATCCCCACGGTGGGGTGCGCTCCTGCTGCTCGGTCCCAGCGCCTGCCAACCTAGCAGTTCGAAAGCACCCCGGGTGCAAGTAGATAAATAGGGACCGCTTACTGGCGGGAAGGTAAACGGCGTTCCGTGTGCTGCGCTGGCTCGCCAGTTGCAGCTTGTCACGCTGGCCACGTGACCCGGAAGTGTCTCCCAGACAGCGCTGGCCCCCGCCTCGTTGAGTGAGATTGGGCCGCACAACCTAAGAGTCTGTCAAGACTGGCCCGTACAGGCAGGGGTACCTTTTTTTAAGGTAAAGGAACCCCTGACCATTAGGTCCAGTCATGGCCGACTCTGGGGTTGTGGTGCTCATCTCGCTTTATTGGCCGAGGCAGCCGGCATACAGCTTCCGGGTCATGTGGCCAGCATAACTAAGCCGCTTCTGGCGAACCAGAGCAGCACACGGAAACACCGTTTACCTTCCCGCTGGAGCGGTATCTATTTATCTACTTGCACTTTGATGTGCTTTCGAACTGCTAGGTTGGCAGGAGCAGGGACCGAGCAACGGGAGCTCACCCCATCACGGGGATTCGAACTGCCGACCTTCTGATCGGCAAGTCCTAGGCTCTGTGGTTTAACCCACAGCACCGCCCACATCCCCTAGTTCTGCCCTAATTGTAATCTTAGGTGCAACACCTTTTTCTAGAAGAAGGGAACCAAACCCCCTGGCCCTTCCAGTCATTTTTTACTCTCAATTGTTCTGACAGTGTTTTGGTATGATAAACAAATCTATCTAAAGTGTTTGTTTCTGTTGCACTAATTAGCTAGCATTTCTGCTCACCCATAGAAAATAGGATGAAAAGTTTCTCGGAACAAACTAGAAGAATTTCAATTAACAGCTTCAATAAACACACAACTGTGGTGTGTGTGTTTTTTTTTCCTTTTTTGTAATTCCAGAATTGGACACATGTTCCTTCCCAGACATTTTTTTGCCTGAAGGTTGATAAAAGGAAACTTATTTATTTTATTCCACTTTCATCATTCTCCACATTGTATGCAAGCATAGTGCCCAAACCAAAAATGTAAAGCACTGCTAGACCATTTAAAGAGCCATGGCTCCCCACTCCGAATCCTGGGAACTCTGGTTTGTTAAGAGTCCCTAGCCAGCAGGACTAGTAGTCAAGGATGATGGGAATTGTAGTCCCAAAACAGGTGGACACCCAAATTTGGGACACCCTGGTCCAGAGGTTGTACGTGTTTTTTATATCGTAAAAAAGCACTGTGCGGTGCCAGAGATTTACAATACATTGTTTCAGTTTGAATATATCTCATTTTAGGGGTGCAACCTATGTCTGGGGCCAGCATGTAATGGACCGATACAGTAGTTCTCCTGAGCATATATACAAATACAGTGGTACCTCAGGTTAAGTACTTAATTTGTTCCGGAGGTCCGTACTTAACCTGAAACTGTTCTTAACCTGAAGCACCACTTTAGCTAATGGGGCCTCCTGCTGCCACTGCGCCGTCGGAGCATGATTTCTGTTCTTAACCTGAAGCACTATTTCTGGGTTAGCAGAGTCTGTAACCTGAAGCGTATGTAACCCAAGGTACCACAGTACTATTTTACAATGCAGAAATTAAAGAAAACCAAAATATAAGTGGCAGGTGCACTTTCAATCAATGTTTTTCATGTAAGGTAGTTTTAGTTCAAGAAAAAGAAATACATCATTTCTAAGCTGGAAATGGGATGCGGGTGGCGCTGTGGGTTAAACCACAGAGCCTAGGACTTGCCGACTGGAAGGTCGGCGGTTTGAATCCCTGCGACGGGGTGAGCTCCCGTTGCTCAGTCCCTGCTCCTGCCCACCTCAGCAGTTCAAAAAGCACGTCAAAGTGCAAGTAGATAAATAGGTACCACTCTGGCAGGAAGGTAAACAGCGTTTCCGTGCGCTGCTCTGGTTCGCCAGAAGCAGCTTAGTCATGCTGGCCACATGACCCGGAAGCTGTACGCTGGCTCCCTCGGCCAATAAAGCGAGATGAGCGCCGCAACCCCAGAGTCGGTCACGACTGGACCTAATGGTCAGGGGCCACCCCCCCCCCCAAAAAAAAAAGCTGGAAAAAGCTGCTCACCCTAACATAAATCCCCAGTGCCAAGGCAGGTGCATGAGAAAGTGAGACAAGACAGCTGCCGCACATGCTTCCACTATGCAGGGCCCCACGCTTAATCTTAAGCAGACAGCCTTCAGTTTTTTCAGAGCCTGAAAGACAAGCATATTAACACATCAGCAGCACCAGTGCAGAAGAAACCCCATTGAGTTTTGCTCTGCTCAACTTTCATAATATAGGACAGAAGAAGGGTGCTTGGAGGTAAGGGGTGTGAAGTTCATCTCTTTCTGGGATCAACAGAGGTTCTCACTACAAGAGCAAACAGGGATGGAGAGAAGAGATCAGAATATTATCAAGCGAGCATGTGGAGTTGGAATTGGTGATGGGGAAGAGTACTTCCCCCTGTGAGCTGAGCTTACAATGACCTTGTCCAGAAGCCATTCTAAACCATGAAACCACAGTGAGCTTATGTGACACAGCCACAAGAAGTGGAGAAGCCTTCATTTTATATTAACCACTGCTTGCTGTGTCGTCCAAACCTGGAGAAACTGTGGCTGAAACAAGCTAACTTCAAGCCACAGTTCATGAAGCTGGTTTGTTGCGACAAACCATAGTTAAGACTAACCATAATCCAAGATTTGAACAATAGGTTGAACTGTGGTTAATCAAATACAGAAGCTCCCAATTTCTGCCTCACAGCCACACCAGAAGAGGACACGTGAGGGATGTGTGTGAGAGTGTCTCATTCTTGCATCCAAACACAACTCATAGCTTATTAAATTCTGCCATCTGAACATGGCTTAGAAATAGATGGAAATTAGTTATAGGTTCAAAAAGGCCATGAAGTGAACAATCAGTTCTGCATGGGGGTAACAGGCTTCCCCACACAGAACAACTGTTTTCCTCATGCAAAATTTACAAGAACTTAAGCTTAAACCAAGCCTTATATGAGGAACGGTTTAGGGGATTGGATATGTTTAGCCTGGTAAAATGGAGACTGAGAAGAGATATGATAGCCATCTTCAAATATCTAAAGGGCTGTCACATGGAAGATGCAGCAAGCTTGTTTTCTCCTGCTCTGGAGGCTAAGACCTGAACCAATGGATTCAAGTTACAAGAAAGGAGATTCTAACTAAACACCAGTAAGAGATATTCAACAGTACCATTTAATGCTCTACCTTTGGGTCAAGGCCAAGGCCAGCACGAGCCAAGATAACGGAGAGGGCAATATTTTTCAGGGCAACTGCCCATTTCACTTTGATCCGGACTATGTTACTGATCAGTGGGACATTTCTGAGGATAAATCCAACAAGCAGCATTCCTAAAAGGAACAGAGAACGGGAAAACACACTGCCTGAAAAAATTCTGAATAAGATTAGATGCCTTCACAGGTTAAGCATTCTGTCCTCACAGAAATACAGCCTGTACCAAAAGCTCAAGAGGAAGAATATGAGCCAGTGGTTACAACACAGGGGGGTAGATTAATGCAAATTCCTGAATTTGCAGATCTAATGGAAAATCCCATTTCCATACTCCTGGCATTCAGTCAAATAATGCTTCCCAGCACATAATTTTTCATATTTGTATTCCACCCTTCCTCTTAGGAACTCAGTTTAGGCATACAACAGGTTCCCCTGTATTACCGTATTTTTCGCCCTATAGGACGCACTTTTCCCCCTCCAAAAATGAAGGGGAAATGTGTGTGCGTCCTATGGGGTGAATACAGGCTTTTGCTGAAGCTGGAGAGCAAGAGGGGTCGGTGCGCACCGACCCCTCTCGCTCTCTAGGCTTCAGGAAGCTATCCGCAAGCCTGGGGAGCCTGTGGGGGTTTCCGCAGGGCTCCCCAGGCTGCGAATAGCAGCCTGCCGCCCGGCGCGCAAAACGCCCTGAAGCAGAGCGCCCCTCACGCCAGGCAGACATCCGCAGCGTGGGGATCCCTGCAGGACCTCCCGCAGGGCTCCCCACGCTGCGGGATAGCAGCCTGCCCGCCCGGCGCGCGGGGCGCCCTGAAGCAGAGCGCCCCTCGCGCTGGGCAGACATCAGCCAGCCCCACAAGCTCGGGGGACAGCGGGGAGGCGGAGCGCCGCCATGCCGCTGTTCCCCGACCTGGTTTTGGGGGGGAAATAAAGGGGGAATTTTTCCCTTTATTTCCCCCCAAAAAACTAGGTGCGTCCTATGGGACGGAGTGTCCTATGGGACGAAAAATACGGTAGTTTCACAACAATCCTATGGGGCAGATTAAGCAAAAAGACAGTGTACCTGATCTGTAAAAGTCACATTGTCAATGGAACTTAAAGTTGATATTCTGTAGATTGGGAAAGTTATCATATGTAGAACTACCAAGTCACTTACTCATAGGACCATGACCTGATAGAATACCTTCTCAAGATATTGCAGAGATTTTAAAAAATTAAACAACATGCTTCAATTTAACTTAAAATAGTACCTCCTCACTCCAAGAGTTTCTTCAGCACCAAGTAGATTTAAGTAGCCTAGAGGATACCTGCACTGTTAACAGAATGGATTCACATCAAGGTTGTCAACTGATTAAAGCTGATCTTTAAGTGAGTAATCACTTGTCCTTTAGCTGATTAATCAATTCAATTTAACAGTGCAAATGGCTTCTTGAGATTCTGTCAATTATTTTTGCTTATTAATTTTTACAGAAGCACCATTTCCTTTCTTTTTAACTCCATATTAAAGAAGTTCTCCAGGAATAATTTAGCCTACCCCCCCACCAAGAAAAAAGCCCACCCATGCCCAAGCAATTAAAATTTGCCATCACCAAATAAAACTGTTCCTCTCTAATTAATCAATTAAAGCTACAGTTGATTAATCTAACAATTAAACTTAACACCAACAGGTTATATAATCTGACTACAGATAAGCCTCTCTGTAATCTCTGCCCTGTCATCTCCACAAATCAAACCTATGGACAACTTACCAAGAAGGGGAGGGAATGGAGGTAGACCAGGAAGTTTAATGATGCCCATAAATTTACCACCAATTACAGCAGAAAAGAAGAGGAACAAAATTCCGAAGAGGTTCCCCCCAGGAAGGCACTCTTGGCCTGTAATGGACCAGGCCACAGACCAGACCAGCACCATAGCTGCCACTGGAAGAAGAAATAAAGTTGGAGAGGCATGAATATATTTCTTAGCATTTGTGGATATGTTACTAAAATAACTTCACACATTCCTGCCTCTTCCCTTTCTTTTTACATACCATTTGTCACGATTCTGGCAATTATGCCTTGTGGAGGACAGGCACATATTCGCCTCAGTTTCCCTGATGTCTTTGACTCAACCACAGGCTCTTGTGTTTGATGCTCACAGCTGTTCAGCAGAGCAGTCTCTTCAGTTTGCGTATGACCATCAACAGCTTTGGAGTCCAAAATACTGGCTTCCTGAATTAAAACGAGGAAATGCTATCAACAATAACAACCATAATTTGTAGACTTTCACCAAAGTACCAAACTGCCAAGGCTGGAGTCCTTGGCATATTTACAAGGAAACAAGCGCTGCTGAAATTGATGGGGTTTACTTATGAGTAAATGCATTTAGGGTGGGCTGTGCATTTCTCTGAAGAAGACTCAGAATTTTAGAGCTGAAGGGGATATTGGAGGTCATCTGGGCCAACTCCCTTTTCAATGTCAGAGGTTCTTGAGTGTCAACGGAGGGATTTTCAGCAGGAACCCATCTAGATCAGATGTGAGTTGGAAGGGACCCAAGAGTCATCTAGTACAGTGTTTCCCAACCTTGTGCCTCCAGCTGTTTTTGAACTACAACTCCCATCATCCCTGACTAGCAAGACCAGTGGCAAGGGATGATGGGAATTGTAGGCCAAAAACAGCTGGAGGCACAAGGTTGGGAAACACTGATCTAGTACAGGTACCCCCAACTCCAGATGTTTTGGATAATAATAATAATAATAATAATAATAATAATAATAATAATATATTTATTTATATCCCGCCCATCTGGCTGGGTTTCCTCAGCCACATCATCCCTGACCACTGGCCCTGTTAGCTAGGGATCATGGGAGTTGTAGGCCAAAACATCTGGAAGGCCACAGGTTGGGGATGCCTGATCTAGTACAACCCTCTGCAATGCAGGAATATGCAGCTGGCCCATATGGGGATCAAACCAGCAACCTTGGCGTTATCAGCATCACGCTGTAACCAACTGAGCTAACAGCCATGTTCCGGCATGGCAGATTTTTCTTCAAAAATATAAGTGGCTTGCTTAAGTATGATTTTTAATAAGCATGAATAACATAACCTAGAGCCTGCCCCTTAGCGAGAACACACTTGGGTAGAGAAGAAGACCCCAGGACTGAAAAGACAGGTGTCTTGCTGTGCCTCTGGTACAGCAGGTGGAGAACTTGCAGACATCCAGTGAAGCAGAATGCTTGAAGATTCAGGACATCCAAATTAAGTGTTTATTCACACAGCACATTACTTAAACTATGGAATTCACAACTGCAGGGTGCAGTGATTGCCACCAACTTGGATGGCTTCAAAAGAGAAATATACAAACTGATGGAAGAGAAGTCTATCAATGGCTTCTAGCCACAATATCTATGTTTTGCCTCCACTCCATTGGGGAGTGTGTTGTTGTACTCCGGTCCTGCTTTCAAGGTTCCCATAGACATCTGGCTGGCCACTGTGAGAACAGGATCATGGATCAGGTGGGCCATTGTCCCTATCCAGCAGGCTCTTCTTCTTACGTTCTTCTATTCAGGTCATCCATAGTTGTAAAAGATCTGAACCAGCAGTACCTGAGTTACTAGATGCATGGGAATAACATCTGAGCTTGCATTTGCAGCAGGTAGTGTTTCCTCACTCTCTGCCACCAGGTCCTCTGGCATTTGACCAACCTAAGATAATACAACAACAACAAAAAGTAGAGTTACCTATCAATCAACAAATAGAACTTTCAGGTGTAATAAATCCTACCGGTCCCAGATATTTTTTTTATCAGCATTATGACTTTCTGTTATTCGTCTTTTTAAAAGAAAGAAAGAAAGAAACTTGCTCTTTCTTGCTTGAGCTTCATCAGTGCTTGTCTGCACTAAACCAGGATCAGTGAACCTATGGTCTTCGATATGTTGCTAGACTATTATCTCCACCATCCCTGACCATTGGTCATGCTGGCTGGCCGGGGCTGAAGGGAATTGGAGTCCAAAATCATCTAGAGGGGGACAGGTTCCCCCAATCCTGATCACAGGGAAGGTATACACCAAACTATTCCATCTGAGGCATGGAAGGATGTCACCAGTTTTGTATCCGGGAAATTTTTGAGTCACTTCATTGGAAAAACAGTGACATACAAATACAAAAGCAAGCCGCAATAAACCCAAATTAGTAAGACCTTTCAAAGTTGTGCAAGGACTACACACTCCCAGCACACTAATGCTCTTTCAGTGGGCAAAAACAAGCTTTTCTAATCACCAAATGCGATAAAGTAATGAAGACCGAGGGGTCTCTAAATTATATTTCATATTCCCATGATTCAATGGCAGCTCCCCCACCCAGGGTAATCATTGCTCTAAGCAGGGGGATTTAAAAAAAATAGGATCATGCCTGGAGAGGAAAGGATTAAATGCGTGCTGCAGTCCTGAATAGAATTGCCCCCTTCCCTGCATCTAGTATTAAATTTAAAAAATACTGGTGTCATTGCTAGCTGTGCAAGTAAAGTCTAGGTTGACTAGACTTTACTTTAGGTTGACTAGACTTTACAAGGGAAGTAATAGTGCCAAGGGAAGTAATAGTGCCACTGTATTCTGCTCTGGTCAGACCTCACCTGGAGTACTGTGTCCAGTTCTGGGCACCACAGTTCAAGAAGGACACTGACAAACTGGAACGTGTCCAGAGGAGGGCAACCAAAATGGTCAAAGGCCTGGAAACGATGCCTTATGAGGAACGGCTAAGGGAGCTGGGCATGTTTAGCCTGGAGAAGAGGAGGTTAAGGGGTGATATGATAGCCATGTTCAAATATATAAAAGGATGTCACATAGAGGAGGGAGAAAGGTTGTTTTCTGCTGCTCCAGAGAAGCGGACACGGAGCAATGGATCCAAACTACAAGAAAGAAGATTCCACCTAAACATTAGGAAGAACTTCCTGACAGTAAGAGCTGTTCGACAGTGGAATTTGCTGCCAAGGAGTGTGGTGGAGTCTCCTTCTTTGGAGGTCTTTAAGCAGAGGCTTGACAACCATATGTCAGGAGTGCTCTGATGGTGTTTCCTGCTTGGCAGGGGGTTGGACTCGATGGCCCTTGTGGTCTCTTCCAACTCTATGATTCTATGATTCTATGACCCTAGCAGGCCTGCTATGTGGCTTATAGCATTCAGATGCCTTGATGGTGAGCATCTGAATGCACACCATAGCCCAAACTGTCAGTTTACACAACCTTGCAGGGCTGCTGCTGCTGGATTATTTGAAATTGGGGTGATATGCAGCTATATAATGTGTTACTCAGGGTACACTCACTGAAATGAATGAGAATGACTAAGTAATGTTGATTAATTCTAATGGGTCTGAGTAAACCTTAGTTGAAAACTACCCTGGGTGCACCAATGCAGTGTTGACCAGCCACATGCATACATTCTGTACTTAACTGCCTGATGAACTGTAAGTGGCTGGGGGTCACTCTGTTCCTTTGCTAACTGGAGAGTGTTTGTCAAAAAAGACTGATGGGAGCCAGCGCCTGCCAAGCCACAAGAACATGTGCTCATTCTCAAGAATGCCAAGCTGGTTACTGCCAACTCTCTGGGTTCTGCTTTCTGCAACTAGATAGAAATGAAAGGATTGCTTTTCCCAACAAGTCAGAGCAACTGATTCTTAGAGTTGCCAAGGAAGGATGGCACGCCTGGAGAAGCCTACGTAAAAAAACAACAACCCAAAAGATAACCTAAGGCGCATCCGTGCGGCGCACACGCCCTTCCCCCGCGCAGGGAAATCTGGTCGTCGGGTGCTCCCTCCCTTTCCTCTTAGCGGAGAGAAAGGCGTCATCACGCCTAGATTGCCGCTAATACCGTGCGTCTGATGGAAAGCTTTCTTTGCCTCGATTTCGTTTCATAGGTGCAGACAGGATTGTTTTGATCAAGGTTTAAATGTTTTTTAATGACCGCTTTTTCTATGTTTTAGCGGTTCTGTAAATAGAATAGAATAGAATCGTGGGAAATAAGTCGGCCGGTTCCGCGGTGCGTGCGCTTTTGCGCACAGACCTGCTTCCAGTTCAGCTCCTGGGGGGTTGAAAGAGGAGGACGCGCGGAATAATCGTGCCTACCTAGGAAAGGAAGAGCCTCAGGCCTTCTAGAGATGCAGGAAGGCGACGAGAGTGGCTGCTGATCCGCAGGCTGCCGGCTTTCTGCCGCTGCTAGCGGTGGGGGCCGAGAAGGCGAGCTAGCCAAGCCGTCCAAAACGCTGCAACAAGACGCGCGGGCAGAGCCGGCTTGGAGACGCCTATTTCGCCTGGGTTCCTTTGCCAAGCCTCCCTCCCAACGCTGGTGGCGCCCGCCCTTATAAGGGGCCCTCCCTTTTACCCATTTGGAGGGAGCGGGCTGCCAAGCTCCGCTTGCAGGGATCAGATGTAATAGCAAAGCGGCAGCGCGGCGGAAGATACCCCGCACCTTGGAAAGTGCTGGCAGATAAAAGGGAAGCGGACATCTGTTTCCAGGAAGCAACTGGCTGGCAGAGGGCAGCCCAAGGCCACGGTGCAAATGCAGCACCGTGAGTGGCAGGATCCCAGTGGCCTATTCCACTTCACAATAAGGGTGCACGCTAATTAAAGGTGGCCTTTCTCTTAAAGCTGCCATTGCGCTCTCCAGGCCTATAGCAATTCCCTGCTGTTGCAGCGAGAGAGAGAAACGCTAACAAGGCGCTTTGAAGTGGTTTTGCTATCATTCTTATTCTTTGGCGATCACTCGTAGCCGAGTAGGATTGTCTTCCATAAACATGGTTTTACCAATAAGTCCATACTGTGGAGGCCAATTCTGGACCCACACGTCCTTCCACAGTGGGGACATTAGTTCCCGGTGGGAGTTGATCACGGTGTGGATTTGCCAAGTATGCCTTCCTCTTAGCACGTTTCTCCCTTTCATCCTGCGTTCGAGTGTCTTCAAAGCCCATGACACCTTTGGTAAAGGCTGTTCTCCAACTGGAGCGCTCACAGGCCAGTGTTTCCCAGTTGTCGGTGTTTATACTACAGTACATTTTTTTAGATTTGCCTTGAGATACACTGTCACAGAACCCGGGTATCTAATTCTGCTTTGTGCATCTCAAGGAGGTCCTTTTTGGCCTATTTCCAGCCAAGAGAGATGCAGTTCCTGTGTTTTTGGAGGCTGTCCAGTCTGTACTTTCAAGCAAGGCTGCTCTCTGGTGCTAAATGAATTTTGTTTTGCTTCTCTTTCTCTCTCTCTGATTGTGTTAATTGATAGCATTAACTGCATCATGTCACACATTGGGGCCTCAGGAAACACTGTTTAGGAAAGCTTTTAATGTTTAATAGACTATTGTATTTTAATATTTTGTTGGAAACCCAGCCAAATGGGCAGGGTATAAATAATAATAATAATAATTATTATTATTTAAAAGAGGCACTCAAAGCATTTGTTGCAGGTAGAAAGCAAACGTGGCAAGGAAAGTTAAAACAGTCTGCCACAGGATGCAGTGGTCGCTACTAAATTGCTTTTTAAAAGGGAGGCAGGTTAAGACAAATTCATGGAGAATAAGAGTTGCATTGTCTACCGGCCAGCAGTGTACACACTATACCCTTAAAACATATTTGTAGCACATTCCTCCCCTCAAGGAATACTGGGCACTGTAGTTTGTTCAGGATTGTTGAGGATTGTAACTGTGAGGGAGTGAACTACAGTACCCAGAATTCTTTGAGAAATAATATGCTTTAAAGGTATAGAGTGTACACACAACGTAGGTTCTTCCAGTTGCTGGGAATTACGTGGGTGGTGCTATTGCATTTATGTCTTGCTTGTGGCATATGGTTGGCCTCTGAGAACAGGTTGCTGGACCAGATGACCATTAGGCAAATTAAGTTAGAACCTTTCACCCTAGAGTATTAGGGTTTGCTTTGTTTGCTAGGGAAGATGCATTTGTTTTCATGTTTATTTGTTCTTACACATACCGGTCCATTAATAAAACAGCAAGCATCCCCTCCACTGCAGCCTTAATGTATCACATTAATTTACTTAAATGTCAGAGGAGCTCTGAAATCCTTTGTCTGTCCACACTGATGCTGCAGTGGCATTCCACCGCCCCCCCCCCCCAAAGCAGGCCTGAAAAAGGATTGCTGCAATGATTTGACAAACACATGGTACAGACTGGCTTGTAAAAAGCCAGTTAAGAAATGTTGGCAAGCTCTGTGAAAAGGATTAGTATGGAAACGAAAGCTCCTTCACAGAGTAGCAATGGGATGGACCTCTTCCCACAGTTTCATGTTATGAGATGTTGAACAAATCAATACCTGAAGTGGCCTTCCACCAACATGGGCCATTGGTCCACTTAGGTAAATATTGTCTCCTACTGACTGCTCTTGTGTAATCATTATTCCATGGGTGGGAAGCCTCTGTCCCAGGGTTCAAATGCAGCCCCTTTCCAAGCTTCTCTAGCCTGTGAGATTCTCCCCAGGCCACCCCTGCTACTGGCCTTGCTTCATGCATTTTTGCCTGAGTGGAATGTGTCCTGCAGCACTGATGATGCCTCTTGCTTCCTTTGATGGAAAGGTGTGTTTGTGTGCGTGTGGAAGCTACCTTTCTATACAAAGGCGAAATTTACAATCACTGCTGTGTCCACTGTTGCCTCTGCCAGATACGGGCATGTGGCCCTGTGTAAAAAGACACTCCCCTCTCT